TGAACTGTCGCGCTTCTCGTTGCGTCACACCTCAACCCGCCTCAAAGCCAACGCTGATTGGACGTTCGTTCAGGATGGTCTCACGAGGCTAGAGATCTTCAGGCAGCAGGTGAAAAAGTCGTTCTAATGTATAGAACCTGTTCATCGTCTCATGGGTTCCTCCTCATGTTGATTCATTCTGTTTTAAACAGTAAATATTTAGTATCTGTTTCCTGCCGATCTTAGGATGTTATCGTTCCAATAAATGGTCGTTATTAGCGGCTATCAGTCACATAAAATGGCTTCAGATTGTTCCAGTAGACTCATTATGTTACTGAGTGAATACTAATCCTTACTCTAAAGTAATTCCTTTTATTCCTGCAGGAACCAGAAACGCTGCAGGTTAGAACCAGCTTAAATTCTTCTTTAAACCAGGCTGGACTTAAAGCAGAATGAAAACATTAAGGACTGTTTAGTCATAAATTAGCTTTTTATTTTATTCCTTCAAAGAAAAAACATTCAATTCTTCAGTTTGTAGTCAGAACCACGAGCGTTTTTCCTCCACAGAAATGATGCAGCGACACGCCGTCGTTCACAGACAGTATTTTATTCCTTAGATACAATAATTAGCGTCATGATGATCAGACATAAATAGATCAGCTCTGTTTATCTCACAGCGAATATTTACAGATCCAAAACGTCACAAACAAACACGGATCTGATCCCAGAGCAGCCAGACGTCACACAGGAGTTACAGAGAATATTCAGAACGCTGGGCGGGGTTCCTCCCAGGATGTAGTCTGGGCCCACTGCCAGGCTTGTTCTGAACCAGATTAAACCCTGGGTTCTGGAGGAGGCGGGGCCAAGTCGGACTAAATGTGCTGAAACGTTCAGATCGAACCAGGAAGTAGATGGATCCAAGCAACAAATTGAAACCAGAACCAGCAGCTGTGCTCCGAACCCGGTTACCAACATTGCAGCAGGCAAAGACACAGAGGTTCTGATCTGGTCCAGAACCTGCTGTCTGGAATCCAGGAAGTAGTCTAATCCTTGAGTCATTAGTGATTATTTGAGGTTCTGCATCAGAGGAGTTACAGAACATGTCAGAACTGGACCAGAACAAACAGCTAGTAGGTCAGAACAAAGACCCACCGATCCATTCGGTTCTGTTCTGCTTTGGGTCAGAACCCAGCAGAGATGTGTAAATTCTGATGACTGACCCGATGTGGCCCGCCTGAACAGGACCGCTCTGTGTTCTGCTGGAACCGGGTTAAAATGGAGCTTCTCTGACAGACAGGGCGGTTCTGACCCGACTGGTTTTACACGTGGGTCACCAGTCAGAGGAGTGTGTGGTTCTGATTGTTTCTACAGACAGAACTCAGTAAGAACCGTTCAGAACCAAACGTCTGCAGGTGTACGACCCAAAGCCTGGAGTGGGTTAGAACATCTCTGCCTCTGATGGAACCAAACCCAGATATCTGAACGGAACCGAATGGAAACTTTCTGCTGAGAATTAAAGCTGCTGTCTGCAGGCTGCGGTGCCACCTAGTGGCAGGATCCGGTTCTGATCCAAACCTGTTTTGGGTCAAAGGTTCCTGATCATGAACCGCTTCTTTCTTGGTTGCATCATCAGAACATTTTGTAGTGAAAAAAATGTAATCTCAGCGTCGTGTTTCCGTTCGAGCCGAGGGACCGCACAGAAACGGTTACCATGGCAACCGCAGGTTCATTTGGATCAGCGGAAGCTGATGGATCAGAATTCTGTTAATCTGCCCAGTTGTCATGGTGACCGTTTCAGATATGATTCCAGTACATAGTCAGGTCCCAGAGTTAATAATGCACACAGGAAGCGATGAGGTCAGTCGAGGAAGAAGCAGTCAGTTGTCATTCCAGTTTTCCAGGTCATAGTCAGGACCCAGAGAGATGAGTGGTGCAGTCTAATTACAGAACATTCAACAGATGAAATGAAACGAGCTGCTCGTGTCCTCGGTTCTCGTTCGGTTCTTCTTCTCCATCTTTGGAACCTTCTGAACCGACAGATGAGAATGAATCCAGCACTTAGTCCCAGCCAGGAGCCTATAGCAGCTCCAGGCAGTAGACGGAGGCCACGGCAGGTTGCGAATGCAGTGAGTGAGAAAGAAAGAAGCAAGCAGATGGATCCAGGTTTTAGTCTCATCCAGAACCGGCTGCACTGCTCCCGCCTGGGCCGCCCTCTTTACTGAGCCGGACTAATTCCTGGGACAGCAGCTCCAGATCCTGCAGGAAGACAGGGAGGTTTTGGTCAGACGGTTCAACCTGGAACAGTCGTCCACCGCAGCATTCAGGCGAAGGTGGCGGCTGGAACCAGAGGTCCGATTACTTCTGCTCTACGGCGCCTCCTTTGGGAAAACTAAGCGTTTTCATCCCTGCAGCTCACTGTTCTACGGAAAACAAAAGTTAACTGATTTTTAAATTTTATTTCAGTTTAACATGAGAAAAAAGTCAGAATGAAGAAGTCAGACTTTTTTCTCAGAATTCTGACTTTTTTATTGTCAGAATTCTGACTTTTTCCCCATACTAAACTGAAATTTAATTTAAAATCAGTTAATTTTTTTGTTTTTTTCCACTGGCACTAATCCTCTTCCGCACCGATCGGCTGCCAGACAAACAGAAAGGAGAAGCTCTTAGCTGAGGAAGTGCAGAGAAGCTGCTGACTGATAACATTAATATAATAAATGGACCGGGTCAAACTGAAATAACTTTACTGTTTGCAAACAATAAACCAAGCCTGAGAAAACGGAAAATAAAAGCGACAGATAAACTTTAATCTGTCCCATACGGTGGCCTAGAGGGGTCAACACACCGTCTAAATTCTATTGCACGTCTGTAAAACACTGCAGCAGGACTTCAGCACATAGAATGGATCCAACAGGAAACAGAAACATCACAGAGTTCACTAAAGATGACCGGATTAAAACATGAGAAGATTTACACCTACAGAGCGGAAAATGAAGGATTTGAACATCCTGCAAGTTCTCCAACTTAAAAATCATGGAGGGTCTGAAATGATCATCATAGGTGGTCTGCCTTCATGTCCACCTCCATTTATTATCCTAAATTAGATGCACCTGTTTCGTTAGCGAGTCATGTTTACTTCCGCAAACACTGAGGACGCTTGCTACATGTGACGTCATCGCGTCCTCGAGTGCGCATGCGGGACACTTCGGTTGAACGCTTTCAGTTCACACAGCAGATCACATACAAGTCGCATATACTTGGAAGTGTGAACGGACACGCAAAAAATTGAGCATTAAGGCCTGCAGTGTGAACGTAGCCTAAATGTTCCAGCTCCACCAGGCTGGAAAAGGCTGCAGGGAAATAACCGAGCAGCTTGGTGGAAAAATCTCCACTGCTGGAGGAATTATTAGGAAATAGAAGAAGCTAAACATGACGGTCAATCTCCCTCTGACTGGAGCTCCATGCAAGATCTCAACTGGTGGGACCTCAATGATCCTAAGAAAGGTGAGAAATCAGCCCAGAACTACACCTGAGGAGCTGGGACCACCGTTTCCATGGTTACCGTTGGTAAAACGCTAAGAGGTCATGGTTTGAAATCAGGCATGGAAGGTTCCGCTGCGTAAACCAGCACATATGGAGGCCCGTCTTCAGTCTGGAGGATCCAGAGGAGTGATGGGAGAAAGTCATGAGGTCAGAACCTTTTGGTCATAATTCCACTAACCGTGTTTGGAGGAACAACCATCCCTACTGTGAAGCACGGTGGTGGCAGCATCATGCTTTGGGTTTTTTTTTCTGCACATGGGACAGGGTAACTGCATCACATTAAGGAGAGGATGACTGGGGGCCATGTATTGAGAGATTATGGGGAACAACCTCCTCCCCTCAGTTAGAGCATGGAAGACGGGTGGAGGCTGGGTCTTCCAGCATCACAATGAGCCGAAAAAACACGGCCAGGATAACCGAGGGGCGGCTCTGGAAGAAGCAGATGAGGGTTCTATTGTGGCCTAGCCAGTCTACAGACCTAAACCAATAGAGCATCTTTGGAGGGAGCTCAAACTCTCAGCCCAGAAACCTGCCTGATCTAGAGTAGATCTGTGTGGAGGAATGGGCCAAAATCCCTCCTGCACTGTGTGCAAACCTGGTGAAAAACTACAGGAACCGTTTGACATCTGGAAATGCAAACAAAGGCAACTGTACCAAATATTAACACTGATTTTCTCAGGTGTTCAGATGCTTATTTGCAGCTTTATCATAAAATTAAATAGTTAAAAACATCAAACATTGTGATTTATTTTTAGATTATGTCTCTCAGAGTGGACAACTTCAGACCATCCATGATTTCAAAGTGGGGGAACTTGCAGAATAGCAGGCTGTTTAAATACTTATTGTCCTTATTGTATATATATATAGAGGCTGGAGGCGGGGCTTCAGGCCGTCCTATCAGACGGCTGCAGATATAATTGGCTGACGGAACCAATCAGGTTTGTTTGCAGCTGTTTCTGCTGAACTCATGAGGTTGCCTCATCATTAGGAAATGTGTTACCCAGAATGCATCAGCGCTGACCCTCATCCCCTTACATTCTGGTGTGGATTCTTAAGGAGCGGTTCTGCTCAGGTCGTTACGGGTCAGGGGTCGGTTACCTTCTGGAGGTGCATGTTCTTGGTCAGCTGCTCCTCCAACATGTTCTGCAGCTTCTTGTTCATCTCTCTCAGGTTCTCGTCTCCTGGTTTCACCAGATCTCTGAGGACCGAGCCGAGACCTCCTCTGTCTCCCTGAGAGCCTCCGTGACCTCCGACCGCGCTGCCGGACACGTCTGAGGAGAGAGGAGGAAAACAGATTCAGCTTAGAGGAAGACCGTCAGAGGAGGTGCTGAAGAACAGACTTCTGGAACTGAGGAGAACCGAGGAGGAGCTGGGACGGACAGAACCCGGCTGGTTCCGTGTGGGTCTGGGTCTCACCTCTGCGGCTGTCCATCACGTAGGTCTCGATGATGGCGCTCTTCCTGCAGATGTCCTCCGCCATCGACGAGCAGCTCACCTCCAGGTGCTTCACCTTGGAAACGGAGGAGCTCATCAGGTCCCGGTTCTGAACCGACAACAACAACGTTTCCACGGTGACGGGCGGCCGCTCACCTTCTCCTCCAGCATCCACTTCTCCTGCTGGACCTCGGCGAGCCGCTGGAACAGCTCGCCGACCTCGTCGTCCGAGAGCTCGGCGGGACGCTGGGACTGCGGGCTGCCTCCTCCGGACTGAGAAGCAGAGACAGGCGGCGGTCAGGAGTCGCTTCATCAACGCTCACGCATCAAACAACACCTCCAACCTTTCTACAACCTTCTCAGCCACTGAGCTCCTGTTTAACTGCGATGGTTCAGATATATCAGCGCTTTCATTAAATATCTATAATAGATTTCCTTCTGTGTCTTAGAATGTTAGAAATATATTTTTTAAACAACATCCTGCCAAAAAATGATCTAAAAAGAAGTAAAAGCTGCAGCTGAGACATGATGCAGCTCAGGCTGCTGTGGTGGGAAAGAACTGGAAACGCAAAAACCACCTAGAAATAAATGTCTTAAATTAAATCTATTTCATTCTTATTCCAGGGGATCGTCTAAATAAATGATCCTCCTAATTCTCAGTCATTCGGGTGACATGTTTACTAGCGCTGTGAATCTTTAGGATTCCCACGATTCCATTTAGAATCGATTCTTTGTGTCACAATTAGATTTTTTTCCCGATTCTTTTAAATCCAAAGGATTCGATTCAGAAACGATTAATTTACGATTGAAAACGATTCTCAGGATCTATTCCAGTCGGCTGGCATGAAAGAAGAGAACATTTATAGACTTTATAATTGCAAATGTTTTATTTACCCATTGCAATAATGTCAAGACAACATGTCTTGGATTGAACAACTCTGGGCGACGTCTTTCCAGATGAGAACGGGGATTTGAAGAAGTCCCGAAAAATACTTAACTTTACTGCTGCAATCTCTGCAGATCGCATCGTCATGTCAACCTTTGTTACCCGGGTTGAAGGTAAAATCAAAGTGTTTCCAAATGGTTGCTTTTAAAGACGCCGAGGCAGTTTAATTTCTTTTTTCTTCGTCCTCCATTCTTTAGCGGCACATTGCTCATTGGTTTCGCTAAACACTACGGTGCCTGATAAGGCACATCCATCCGCACTATGGGTGTAAATAATAATCGTTTAGTATCGATGCATCGATCCAACAGCCGACGATCTGATGCATCGATACGTCCGCAAGAGAATCGATTCATGTTTTTTTTTCCCTCCGGTCTATTTTTATCCATTTGCTCCTGGGCGTAATTCTCCCTCCCGTGCTGCGGTGGCGCTAAACCTATCTTGCCCTCCTTCCTCGCTTCCTGGTTATACTCTTACAGCAGTGTGTTGCAGTGAGCTTGATGCAGACATTTTTAAATTATGCTCAATATTGAAGCGTGGTCTGTGCTACACGCTGTGGGTCTAGATACGGCCGAGGCGGCGAGGAAGTGGGGGCGAGTTTAGTCCGACGACGGAGGGACATGAGGGCCAAAAAGAGCGGAGATCCAGGTGGAAAAAGGGTCCCAGCGTTCTCGCGCACCTCGCTCTTCTAGCGGGTCAAACTTCACGAGTTGTTTTCCGCAATTTCGGTCATAAAAACAAAACAAGCCGGCCTCCTGTCTGCGGTCAGCTACAATCTGGGAGAGGAGCAGCGGAGCGTCAGTGGAGGGGGCGGAGTCTGGAGCCGAGGTATTGAATTGCACTTATTGCACTGATATTCTGCAGTATTTTTTGATGCAACTTTTCTACTTCTGTTATTTGCTGTTGTTTCTTAAAAAAATGCATAACGATATTACAGTTTTCATTGATTTATTTCAAACTTCAAACTTTGTTTAGCCTGTAAGGTGTAAAAAAAAAACAATCGAATCGTGGTGTATTCTTGAGTATCGAAAATAATCGAATCGTTGGGTCAGGAAATCGATACTGAATCGAATCGCCGTGATGGATGTGATTTACACCTTTAATCCGCACCCACAAAAAAAAAAAAAATGGTTTTAAAAGAAAATGAGAATCGATTCTGAATCTTTAAATGTTAGAAATGCGATTTGAGCTCAAATCGATTTTTTTCTCCACCCCTAATGTTTACGTAAAGCCGTCCTACGTGCCCTCCCACACGTTTAACAGGCGTTCCCTCTTTTTTTTAAAGCCGTATTTTCAAATATTTGCAAAAATCCTCCAAATACCTTCAATTTAAGCAGGTAAATAAGATGATTTGCCAAAGAAATGAATAATTTTACTCTTAAAATAAGAAAATTACAGTATTTTCCGGATTATAAGTCACAGTTTTTTTTTCATAGTTTGGCCAGGGGTGCGACTTATACTGTGGATTTTATTAACGCATTATTATATCATTTCACATTTTATTTTCACACTGAACCATAAGAGGGCGCTCTAGGCCTGTGCTGATAATTTCTACAGTGGGTTTAACTTATAAAAACAACTGAGAAGGGCTTCACTACGTATCGCATTCACCAAAGAAAAAGAAAAATCAGACACATTATCTCATAATTACGAGATAAGATCTGCTAATTACGAGATCTTATCCATTTTTCCAACTCCATCAGCAGCTGCTTCTGATGCGTGTAACCACGTCAGATGCTCAGAAGCTCATGATTCGCTGCTCCTGCTTCTCTAAACGCGCTGCAGAACCTTTTGCTGCACCTTGATGCGCATCAACCATTGACTTAGCATGTAAACCTGCTGCTTCTGCTGCATGTGGTGCTGAACGTAGCATTAGCCTCAGATGCTAGCAACTAATTGTAAAACTTGACTTTATTCTGGACTGCTGTGCAGCTTAAATTAGTAATGTTTTTATATTTTAGATACCTGCAATGACACGTAACCGGTTTTCATTTCTTTTTTAAATCAGGAGCCACATTAGACCTGCTGGATGCAAAGCAGAGCAAAGATAAGGCAGCAGCAGCCGATTCTCCTTCAATATGAGGAGCATCCTCTTCATCAGCGTGTCGCGCTGCAACACTGACCTCTACAGGAGGACCTTCCTGCCTTCAGCCATTGAATCTATCTTAGCTCCAGAACAGAACAAGCTTCAAAAAGATCTTCAGAACTACTGCAGACGATGAACTGATCTGTGTATTTATGTTGTATATTTCTACTCTTTTTCAGGTTCCTGTTATTTTCTAATGTGCAACTTGTGCAATTTCTTTTAATGGTTTGTTCATAATGTAATGTAATTTCTTTATGTGAGGACCCCAGGAAGATTAGTGGCCATTTATTTGGCAGCTAATTGGGATCCTAATAAAACTAAACTAAACTAATTAGCTGAAGAAGCTCCACCCACCCTGTTCTGATTGGTCGGCTGAGCCTCCTTCATCATGTCCTTGTAGGAGAAGGAGGAGACGGAGGAGGAGTCTCCGGTCTGCTGAGTCCGACTGGGACTGTTGATCTCAGAGAGAACCAGCTCCTCCAGACCTGGAAGGTGGAGAACAAGAAATCTGCTGAACAGAACTCTGGGTTCTATGCTGGTGAAGAAAAGTAAAAATCAATCCTCTGGACTTTGTTTCCAAGTTTGAAGACGTTTCTCTTCCATCCAGGAAGATTTTTCAGATCTTAGTTTCAGATTTTAGTTTAGGGCTGCAACTAACGATTATTTTAAAAATCGATGAATCGG